TCTCTCTCTCTCTCTCTCTCTCTCTCTCTCTCTCTCTCTCTCTCTTCTATATATATATATATATATATATACAGAGAGAGAGAGAGAATAAAAAATTATGATTGCAGCTATTTTGTTAATTTTTCTCTTTCTCGTTTGCAGGTAGTTACGTATGGGTAGATCGAAGTCCTGTGGATTTCACTTATTGGGAAGACGATAAACCACCTTCTGATCTTCGGAGTAATAACGAGTGTGTGAAATTCAGTTTAGGTACAGCGAGATGGCATCCTATGAACTGTGATTATGAGCCAGCGCCGTATATGTGTTCCTTTTCTAAAGGTCATTATTGTTCAAATAATTTGAATTTTGTAAAGATAACTAAAATGTTTGTTGAAATCTGATTTAGCATTCGGGAATCTACCATACTTGCCATACTTTTCTAAAGGGGAAAGAAAAAATTAGCAGATTGCAAAAAATGAATCACTCCGGAACGCGTTCAATAATCCAATCAGAGAAAAATGCAGCATAGACATACGAAGATGACAGAAATAAATATGCACAAAACTGAGAAAATACAAAAATAGTATCCAGGAGATGTTTTTTGAGGATTGATTGAAAATGCAGCATGGACAGACGAAGGTGAAAGAAATAAATATGCACAAAACTGAGAAAATACAGGAATAGTATCAAAGAATTGAATGACTCCATTGAAAGATTAATCAAGAAAAAAAATCATCCCTATTTTTATTCCAGAGATATTTCTTAAGGGTGGATCGAAAATTGCACCATGAGGCACTCGTATACCACATGGTATACAACGGGAATAATATAGGTGAATGAACATCTTCCAACAACACAAGAAATACAGATGTAACAGAGACATAAATTACATCCATGCCTGTAGCGGGAATCAAATCCGGTATCAAACCCGGTTGGTATATTAACAATAAAATATAGTTTTACAATCTGTGATAAAATTTGGTAAAAGTGGTAGTTTTATTATTATACCTTAGAGCATGGTATAATATCTATTTATTCGTTAAATTTACTTTTCAGTTTTGTATTTTTTACTATATCTGTTTTAGTAAGAACTATAATTTGGAAAAACCAGAATTTCTGGTATAAGGAATAGAAAAAGTACCAAATGTATGGTTCAAACACCGTATATTTTAGTTTTATGACCAGAATTATGTTTTTTTTTCTACCAAGAATGTAATTACCATACTGTACGGAGTTATAATAGAATTTTCCCCTCCGTGTACGCTGACCCAAAATGATACATTACAGTTCCTCCTGTCGTTTGGTTGCATGTTCAATTGAATGTCACAACGGGCCAACACCATTTTTATTCGCTTTTAAATACAGAGCCTTACAGTCTAGTTTGTGTAATATTTTTCCTATTTTATCTGATTTGAGGTGCCTCCTCTTTAACCAAATGAATCTAGTACCAGAATTTCTATCCAGTTAGATAGAAATAACTTTAACGAACACGAAAGTGAAATTAACTCCATCTTTGTACTAGAAGTATAATAAAATAGTTTAATATCAACCTTACAGAAGAAAGACACATTGTTCCGTAGAAGACAAATCTACCATATTTATCGTTGCTATACAGAAAATATAACTGTAGTTATTAACACAGGCAAAACAGCTAGTTTTTATTGACTTATTTAGTAACATTCAATAATTTAAAATGAAAATTACGCTGATTAGGAAGCGATCACAAAGAAAATGTGCTGTATTATGAGATTTTTGTAAAGTTTGTGAATTAAAGTTATGTAATTTGAACTTTATTATGTTATCATTTGCTGAAAATGATTTATGTATGCTCTAATATATTGTATCTTTTTTTCTTACTTTTAAATCAATTGTTCTCTGAAATTCTATAAATTAGCTTGTAAAAGCAAATTTTGACAGGATAATTTATTACGAAGAACCTTTTACTGTACATCATGGTAAAATTATTGCCATCATTATGCGCCTAGGCATCAACTTTTATGGTGTATTTTGTGCGTTAGTAGCATTCAATGATTTAAAAGGGAAATTACTGTGATTAAGAAGCAATCACAAAAAAATTTGGTGTATTATGAGATTTTTGTAAAGTTTATGAAAGTTTCGCCGACAAATTTGTATTAATATGCAATTTGAACTTTAATATGTAATCATTTGTTGAAAATGATTTATGTATGCCCTAATATATTGCGTCTTTTTTCTCTTGCTTATAAATCAATTATTCTCAGAAATTCTATAAATTTGCTTTCAAGTGCAAATTTTGACATGGTAATTTATTATGAAGAACCTTTCACTGTACATTATGGTAAAATTATTGTCACCATTATGTATACATACTCATCAACTTCTATGATGAGTTTTGTGCGTTTTTAAATGATTTCAGAGAAACAAATTTATTAAACTAGATTTTAAAATTTTTTTTATTTAATTTTGCAAAATTTGAAATTGGTACTTCTCATTGAAGAAATGGGGGGGGGGGAATATAAATTTTATTTGAATAAGAATTTGTTATCTTTTGATTTGATAATTTTTAAATTATTGATTTGCATGTGGTAGTAACTTTGTACTAATTACTTTTTCAGAAGCTTTTAAACTCCAAAAAACTGATTTAGTGATAAATACAACAAAATTACACCTGTTGGATAGAAAAAATGAAGACCTTAGAAAGAGTAAGAATAAATTTTATGTTAATTTAACAATAGTTTTTTTTTAACACAATAATGTAAACAAGGATTAACACAATATCAAATATCGTTCAAACAAAAGGGCCTATTTATACAAACGCACTTTACAAACATCTAAATAATTTGATTCATTTCATAGTGCTTCGCATTTGAATAGAACTAATATTATAGCAACTCAATTGCTGCTTTTTCTGACTAGACAGTTAAAAAAAAAAATTTACTCTTGTATCAAACTTTAGTTTTTAAAAAGTCGAATATTTAAAATTCGATATGACAGGAACTATTTGACCAATTTCATTCAAATTTTTTTTGTTGCCATTTAAAATATTCATTCTTTAAAATAATGTAAAAATTTAGCAACTATTATGGGTTAGGAATCCAAATCCGTCGATAAAAAGACATTAACTCAGAAAAATGTTAACTGAAATATTAATAGAACTCAAATGATAACTTACAAAAAGTGCGTTTTCGTGTCTGATTTAGTATTTTTAAATATCTTCTGCATCAATTAAGTAGCATATTTGAGGTCAAAAATATAAGAGATTATGAAGTGAGAAAATTCTTTAAACCATTAAGACTGAATCTTAGAACGTCAGGATCCGATCGAAAGTTATTCTGAGTATTAAATTTTTTTTCGCCCAGTACAACAAGTAGAAAAAGGGGAAAAGAAAAAGCTGGTGAAAACACGTCCTTGGGCGACAAAAGCACTCAGTTAATTTTACAGAGAAAATTTAAAAATATTTAAAGTGATTTTTTTTTTTTTTGAATAATGCTATGCATTAATTTTACCCTTGATATATTCTGATATAAAGAGTCCTATATTTTAATATATTTAAAACTTTTTTTTACCCGAACGATGAAAAGGTTGACTTTCTACTGTATATAAATAAAGTTAATGCAACGTTGTTGTTGTTGACTTATTCCTCTTGGTCAGCCGCAGGCTAGATCAAGTCAATGAGCTCGAAAGTCTTCAGGAAATCAAATACAAGTAAGGGACCAGAGTAGAGGTCTTTCTTTTCCAGACCAAGACAGTGTAAAATGTGATCGGGAGAAGCCTGTGCAGAGTTACACCTCGTGCACGTTGAATAGGTCTTTCGCCCAAGCTCAAAAGAGAGACATGTGTCCACTTATGAGCCTACTTATAGTGGACTGTATGGCTCTATCAGCCTCTATGGTAAGTGCCCCACCAGGATAATGCAACGTAAAGCAGATAAATGTGATAATTTCATCCAAAGCTGTAATACTTTACCCAAAGCTGTAATACTTTACACATAACGTGACATAACTTTTCATTTTATATAGATACGATCATTTTGGTACTATAGCAAATTCTTTTATATCGAAAAACAGAATGAAAAAGGAAAAGTTTAAAAGTTCAACAGAAACTTTGTATTTCGATCTTTTATTCTATGTTTCCCTCCATCAATCTATGTTTTGACCCAGAATAAATTGTAATACCAGAAATTCTAGCTTTTCATTATTAAGGACCAGAACAATCGTATGTATGCTTATATCTCAATATAACTGGATACCTGCAAGTGCATTGTAGGTAATTTGTGGCATTTGACAAATGAGAAGCCAATCAGGTTCGACGCATACGTGTGACGTCGCTTACAGGTATCCAATTAAATCTGATTTAAATCAGATGGTTAGGCATAACCACTTCACTTCTCGAGTTGCTACTGCCCTAGTATAATTATAAATAAGTATGCCTAGTACAATATAATTATAGTTGCTATTTTTTTAATTATTATTTTATTTTCTAAAGAACTTTTTTATTTTCTTTCTAGCTTTTTATTTTTAATTTCGTTTTTTCAATTTTTTCAGGTGATGTTGGCTACAGCCTTAGTACTGGAGGCATTGTTGGAATATTGATTTCGGTGATGCTAATATTGATAGTGATTATTGGTGTAATTTATCATCTTTTCTATTCATCGCATAGAACTGTAAGCCCTACTTTGTTAGAACCAGATAATCTTTGACGAGTGAACATTGACGAAATAAGAATTTTGTTGCACTTTTGTAATGTTAAATATTTACGTAAGATTAAATGAAATCGTTTATTTTCACTCATTTCATTTATTTTTTCTTCGACTTCCTCTTTGCGTATCCACTTTTTGCGCATTCAAAAAAAGATGCATCTGGCCCACGTGAAATGGACTAATGGTCGTTGCCATCATGTCCCAAATTTAATTTTTTTTTCTTTTTTTGTTAAAAAGTACAGACTGAAAAAGGATTAAAATGATATTTTCAGAATTTTTGGATATAATTTAAGATGAAGGGCTCATTTTGAAATGAAACAAAATGGAGAACTTAGACAAAGTGGCTCATAAGTTCCAATAAACACTTTTGAAAAAATTTCGTAATTTTGATGTCATTAGAAAGAAAAAAGTTCAAATTATGTAACTAACATTCTGGAAATATGTATATATACGTACTTAGGAATTTTCATTAAAATAGTTTTAAAGGAAATTTTGTTTCTCAAGCATTGAAATTTTTTTACAACTAAATTTATTATTGTTCGGGTATTCAGTAAGTAAATAAATTAAAATAGCATTATTTATCGACCAGCTTTGTTATCTAAAGCTGCATTGCGTTAATCTACCTTTTCAACTATTAATGACAACTCCAACAGCAACCTCTAGGTACTGTAAAAAATTGAAAGATATATGCCGGAGATTTTAAACTTCGTTTCCAAAGCAGTCTGAACAAAGCAAGTATACATACTAAAATTAAAAGCAATGGATCTTTAAGAACGTTGGGCATTCTCATAATCCAATTTATAGAAATAAAAAATTCAATTATTTTATTTTTTTAATAAAAAAAATCAAGTCAATATAACATTTAATTCAAATGGTTTATTCGACTTTCTAATTGTTTGTCAGGGCATTCTTATGAAAAAAGAAAATCATATGTATGATATGAACTTCAATTATACTTAACTGTCATAAACAAGAGATTATTGGAGTATAGAAGTTTGACTTTTAAAGTATAAATTGTATATTTATTTTTAAACAAATACTTATAGCTTTTAAACTTATACAGATATCTTCGGTCATCAACATAAAATTAATAAATTATCTCAGTATTTAGCAGTAAGCAATCTTTTATTTCAACTCATGTTTAATTACGTTACATTAGTGTTTTTTTTCTCTTCTTTTTTTTCTTTCTCTTCTATATTTTCGTTTTTGATTCAAAACTGAAAGTTTAAAACTAAAAAATAGGGTAAGTTTTGTTATTTAAAATAGTCGTATGGTTTTAAATTAATAATATAAATGCTTTATTACGTTACATTAGTGCTTTCTTTTCTATTTTTTCGTTTTTGATTCAAAGTTGGAAGCTTAAAACTAAAAAATGGGTTTGGCTTTATTTTTTAAAATAATCATAATGATTAAAAAATAGATATAATATTGTCATATAAACATGATATTTCATGACTAATTGATTGCATATTTTACAATTATGAGGCTGCAAAAAAATGTAAAGTATTACATAAGAAACACCATAAAATTTGAATTATATTTATATTTAAATGAATTTGATGTAAAATCCGTGTTCAGATAATGCAGATAAAATAATGTACACAAAATGACTTAATATTTAAAACTGAAAAGCAATTTTAGAAATTAATTTTCTGCACTGTAACTATATATTGTATTTGGCAACAAAAATATGACTAGAGTGTAAAATAGGACGCCCCTTGGATTGGGTACTGTAACTTGGAGCTTTTACTGTGTATAAATTCTTCCATTTTCCAATTATTTTTATCGTGATTTCTTATTGTTATAAAATCTAATTATTAAACTTTTTTTCTCATATTTTGTAAGAAAACCAAAAAAACTAAGACTGGCTTCCCAATATAAATTTTTAACGGAATTATTAAATGCGTTTTAACCAAAAATTAAATATAAATTTAAAACACAGTTCTATGAATGAAATTTAAATACCATGCAAACTACATTTTTTGCGATAAACTTATTTTACAAACAAATTATAAATCCACAATTTAGTACAATAAATTTATTCTAGAAATATAATTATATTTGCATATTGTCTCATTTTTTTAAAAAAAATAATAATGAAGTAAATTGCTTCAAGTTAAAATTTTATCTCAATAAAAACGGGTAACAAATTTTATCAGAGATAGCTTTATGAGCGGCATAAAACAGTTAATATAATGAATGAAAATTTCATCCTTTTATCAAATAATTTTAACTTTTGACATAACGATCTCTTTATCGTCAAGAAATTAAAATGATTAAAGCAAGCATGGGGTATGGTGCGAGCAGCGAATTTGAGACGGTGACCGTAGTAAATCATAGGGTATCATAGAGATAGTTATTGCCAAAAGATAACAACAGAGAAACCTTACTTTGTTACAATGTTTAAATTAAAATTGGATGCCTGCAAGTGACGTCAACGCAGGTAAATCGTGGCATTTGTCGATCTTGGGGCGACTCACGTTCGACACACACGCGAGACGTTGCTAACATAAATCCAATTAAAACTGATTAAAATTACATGGTTAGGCATAATCACACAAATCATTACAGAAATTAACTCGTGTTTATTTATTATTTAAAAACTGGTCCGTTGTTTTAACTGATTCGTTCATCAAATTATGCATTAATTATCTCCTTTCTTCCACCTGCTATCTATTTTCTTATCATTAGTTATTTCATTAGTTATAAGATGATTAATTAGTTACTTTCAAAATAGTTTTTCGTTTAGTTCTCACGGAAATGGTACCAGTCAATAATTTGATTCGAACTTTATCAAACGTAAAAACTGCAAAAATATATTCTTTTATTGATAACTGAAATAATAGAGATAGGTAAGCAAAATCATAAAACTTAGTTACATCTTACCTTTAAAAATTGGCAATACCTCGAAATAACTTTAAAGTTAAAACAAATACTCTTACCTACCTATACTTCTAAGAAAAAAACAGCCTTTTGTATACTTATGCCTTTTATACTTGGGTCCTTTTAACAAAAAAACCTGTTTTTAAACAAAGTGTTTTGTTTTTATTCGATTAAATTCTAGAAAATGTTTATTTTTAAAGAAGAGTACGAAAGATGGCAGCACTAAATAATAAAAAATTTTTACTCCTCTATTTCGCTGTATTGGAATATATTTTTAAATTTACCTTTTTGAAATTGAGTTATTTACTGAACTTTTTGAAATGTTTTCTACAAGTCCATTACCTCTTAGTTATATCGTGCTTGACAAGAAACGAGGGAAAAAGTGGTATTTCAATCTGCCCGGTATTATGTAGGCAATTAGAGAATATTAAAAAAAACATATATACGCAAATGCAATCGAACAATGAATAATTGAAAATAGGAATATCTAATTGATTTTTTTCTTATTTTTGCTCACAAACAATGGCCTGTGTCTTAAATATTCTGCTTAAGCTCTAAAGAATCGATTAACTGCTTTCAGGTTCCATGGAAGGAAGAGAATTTTTAGCTCTTTTAATATTAAACGATTCAGAGTAAATGTTTTTGTTTCCCCCGCCCTTTGTGAAAGAAATGTTTCTTCCTTTTTCAAAAAAAGTTCTGGAAAATATCTAAAACAGTATTTATGTAAGTGATTGTTCGAAAACCGGATAATAGCTTATTGTCCGGAACCCGATATATCCGAATGCTCAATATAATGAGAGTAAGGTGAAAAGTTTATTCAAGGTAAAAATATTTTTTCTCTTTTTTAAACCAAACTCAGGACATTAAATTTAAGATTAATTTGATCTCTGTTGTGGGTCTCACGAAACTTGTATAGAATCTTAAGTCCACATTTTCCCGAGTGAAAATAGGGGTAGACAGAATCTCAGCACTTTTATTAACAATTTTTTGAGACATATCTGCCACAGATTGTCTCATCTCCAATGAAAACCCCATCCCATAAAGCAAACCAAGGCTCCACTAGTGTCCATAATAGAAAAAACGATATAAAAAATTTACGCTGAGAAATTCTCTTTTACTTTTAGATTCTAATAGCGAGAAATTTTGTCTTTAATATTCAGTAAATAATCCACCAAATCTTTTGTTCCCGCTTTTACATAAAAGACGGTACAATAGGAAAAATATTTTATAGGAGAAAATTTTCTTTATTATTTTCTGATCCCTTTTATTTTATTTCACAACCGGCGTTGAACAGTTGACCCAATTTTAAGTTTACAACCATCAATGTTTAACTCCATAGCCTCGTAATTTCGAACCCAACCCATAAGGCAAGGTAACTCATAGATCAGGCATCGGGAGAAACTGGATTTTGTTGAGGACTTTTTGATGGATAAACCGCATTTGCTTCATATCGAGAGGATAACCACGGAAACCTCCCACGGTCACCCCGACAGCTAGAAAACTCTAACCAATGATCTGCCTACCACTGGGAATACTTTCGGTCAACGCTGTGGTCGGTGCGAGTCAGGTGCAGAATTCATATCAACCAGCCATTTCTGGGATTCGAGTCTAGGACACCTCATTGGGTGACGAACGCTTTTTCTGAGTCACCACGGTTCCTTTCATATACTTAATAATAAAACGCACAGAAAGAAGATTTAGCTTTTTTTTAAGGAAATACTACATCAAAATACTTTTTTCAATTTTTTCATATCTAGGATGAAGGGAAATAAAAGATGAAAAAAAAATATAATTACATCACTTAAAGAGAAATTATCAGATACTAAGTGTTACTAAATACTTTTCTTTGAATAAATCTCGATGTTTCGACAATTTTATTATTATTTTGATTTTACCACTTTTCAGATTAAAAAATATTAATTCACAGGATAAAGTTCAAATTACAATAGATACATACAGTGGCATATAGAAATAAATTAAAGACCAAATACATATTTTAGTTTATATTTTACAATTTAAGGATCGATTAAAATTGAAAAAAGTATGTTTGGAATAGATTATGCAAAAGCATAATATTAGTAACAATTAAAAAAAATTCTACTTATATTGCATTAAATTTCTTGCAACATTTCACAACTCAAAAAAACTTAAAATGACTCAAGTTTTTGCCACAACTTAAAATTTTACTTATAGTTATTCTTGAT